GGGGTGGGAACCGTTTCCCCCCCCCCCCCCCGCACCTACTTGCAGCGCTCCCGGGGGGTCAAACACGGTCAGTCAGGCGAACCGCAGGGGGTGAGCGCCCGTCACCCCGCACCGGGCAGCCAAGCGCCTCCCGCAAGGGGCGTTTCAGCCTCCCCCCGCCAGACGTGCTGGCGCCACCAACAAGAGCCCAGTTAGTAGGGACTTGGCGGGGGAGGGGGGTTGCAAGGTTCACCTCTGTCCCCTAGGACCGTGGTGTCCAGCCAGCCAACTAGCCTCACTCTGCTGGCCTAATAGCCACGTGTGGCTAGCGTGTTGGGCCCCATGGCTCTAAGAACGGGGCTGAGCACCAAAGGCGCTTCACGTGCCAACAGGTTGGCAGGAGAACCAATGGGGGCAACGGCCCTTGAGCGAAGCGATTCAGCAGGGCCCAGGACACCCAGCACCGCCACTGCTGTGGGTCCTTTAAATCCTGAAGGGCTCTTAGGGCTGGCTGAACCCAACCCAGCCCTTCTGCCTGAGGCCCCGCCACTTCAGGGAGGCTGCACCATCCTTGCTCAAGAGCCCAGTCATTCTATCAAATCCCTTGCATTTTACACAAGCCACTCAACTAGAAATCATGTTCTGTCTCTGCGAATCTGGGTTTGACTTCCGATGATAATCTGGAGGAGAGAAACACTTTGGACCAGTTCCTCAAAAGTATTTGGGCTCACCAAATCAGTGGACAATAGGAACTTAAGTCTCATTGAGAAACTGAGCCTTTATGCTAAGCCTGATGAATCCAGTTTCTTATGTTGTAGGAAATCCCTGGGATATTTTAGAATGAAACTCAGCTTGCATTCTCCTACACTTCACTTTCACACCCTATCAAATCCATTGCACAACAATACACTATTTCTTCGAAAATTTAACCATTTGGTAAATGAGGCAGTATTTGGTAGGGTACTGAGTGTTGTGATACTTTAGTTTCTATTCTTTACTCAGACTTCTTAGCATATGCACAATGTGCTTAAGGCGGCACAGGATTCATCACTGAATTTGGTTTGCTCGTGGTATCAATAACATGTCTGGTCCGGGTACTGACAGGGAGTGCAATGCGAGTGCTGATCCATATAACTCCTTATGTTACTTTTGGAAAAATCCCTTAGTGTCATTGTGCTTCAGTTTCTCAGTGTATAAAAAGGGATCAATGATTCACAAGTCTGTATAGTGATTGATGATAATTGTAATACTATATGTTCTATAAACTAAGGATGTTAGTAATCCATGTATCTGCAAAAAATGTTATGGGTTCCACGGTTACTAAAATGCTCCCTGGGGGCAGAGCTGGCAGCCAGAGCACTCCCAGCCCCACTCCCAGATCAGCTCCCCCACACAGACTGGCTCCTGTCTGCTGCACATGAGGCTGCTCCAGCATCCCTCTTGCCTCCCTCCCCCAAATCCCATGCATCTTATACAGAAGCAGCAGCATGGGCTGGGAGGGCCAGACAGCTCCATGGAGTGGTGCTCTTTGAGAGCCGAATTTTAAACCTGCACTCCTCAGCATCAGCTCCTGGTCCCTCTTTGGGAGGCAGCAAGGGGAGGCAAGTGACTCCGTGGGATTTGGTGCTGGGAAACTGTCTCTTAAGCTGGCTTCCTCCAACACCCACTCGTCTCCCGTGCTGCTGCCTCTGTGAAAGGCAGAACTGGGCAGGGGGGAGTCAGCTCCAGGGGAACCAGTAAGTGCTGGGAGGTGGCTTAAAAGCCGGTTTCCCATGGGCACCTGCTCCTGCTGCTCTCCCCCACTGCCTTGATACAAAGGTGGTGCGGGGTGGACTGTGTAGTCATTAGGATTAACTAATGAGCCCAGGCTTATTAGTTAGTGTATAGTTGTTTAAATGATTAGCAGTCCTACTATAAACCAGTGAAACAAGGAAGCAAGGTCTTCAAAGACATTTTTAACTAAATTGTACATTTGACTGAGTTAAGTCTCTGCTGATGCATCAACTTCTAATGGACAAATGAAAATGAATGTGCTGCCACAACCTTAACTACAGTATATTGCTATGAAATGTGGCAGTGGTCTGTTAATATCAATAAAAGCAATGAAGTTGTTGTGTAATATACTAGTGGGTCTCCCTTTGTCCTGTATTAAAGGCATTGGTTATTCCCCAATGAAAGTTTTTTCATATATTCTCTTATCAATGGCTAAGCTTGAAATGAAATCTGCTTACCTGTCTGATTTTAATTTACATAGTATTTACATTTCTTAATTATAGTCTGTTTAGGTACTATAATCTCTGACTCTCCCTCTCTTCTTTTTCTGTGAACTTTTAGGGGCCAAAAAAGAAAAAAAAGGTAGGTAGGCATGTAGGTAAATGTGTGTATGTGTATGAGATAGGACATAGATATAACAACAAAGATATGATCTAGCTCAGAAATAATTTGTTGAATTCAGTAGTGTTTGTTTACATAGTTGGGAAGAACAGTTTCCTCACTCAGGAGATTATGGGGTGAAATACTATGGCTTGTGTTATAGAATCGTAGCAATATAGCCATTGACAGCCCATCAAGTTAAGTTCCCGCACTGAGGCAAGACCAATTAAATCTAAATACCCTTTAACATGCTTGAAGACTGTTATCAGGTACCCTATCAGTCATTTCTCAGGACTACACATGCAGGCTTTTTTAACTAGTCAGGATTTTTAAACCTTTTATTGTTTTTGTAGCTGTCCTGGACTTTCTTCAATATTGTCTTTCTTACAGTGCAGTGCCCTAAACTGGCCATAGTATTCCATCTAAGATCTCATCAGAGCAAAGTAGAGCGTAACAGGTATCTCCCTTGTCTGTCATACAATACTTCTGCTAATAAACCCCAAAACATTAGCCTGTTTTTACAACTGCATCATTGTTGACTCATATTCAATTTGTGATCTACTATAAACCCCTAATCCTTTTCAGCAGTACTAGCTAACTATGTTTTGTAGTTATGCATTTGATTTTTTTTCCTTCAACAAGAGAAGGAGTTTGCACTTTTCTTTATTGAATTTCATCTTGTTGATTTTAATTCTCTTATTTTATCAAGGTTGTTTTGTGTTCGATACCCATCTTCCAAAGTACTTGCAACAACTCCTAGTCATGTGCAGATTTCATATACATACTCTCTGCTCCATTGTCCAGATCATTAATGAAATTGACTAGAACAAGACCCAGTACTGAGCTGTTATGCAGGATGTCAAACTAGATTACTCCCTCATGGAGCTAATCTACAAGTAGTATTAAGGTCTGATATATTTTAGGGGAGGGTTAAGACATACTGTTGAGTCAAATTTGCTGTAAAAGACTTTGTAAAACAAGATTTTACAACACTTAAGACAAAAAAATTCCATGTTTAAAAATTCCAGTATAATCTTTAAAATTTACATAAAACAAACATGTTGCACTATAGCATTTCATAGGTCACACATTGCATCACTGGACCGAGGCATGAGAATCTGGGGGGAAATGATTAGACTATTTTTGTAAACAAGCGAAACTGACTGATCTGTTTTCGTCTTCCAAACTGAGAGAAGTCAATAAATGATATATAGTAAAAAAGTAATATATCTAAAGTTTTTTCAGCTTTTCCTAAGGCCTTCATCTTGCAGTCAAACTCACCAGCATATCTTCTATGTCTCTATCTTCAGATCTTGTGGCAGATCTTTCAAGATGAATGCTTGAGTAATACATGTGATGGGATTCAATTTTTTCTAACTAAGGCTATGATTTAGTCATGGGTATTTTAAATAAAGGTCGGGCAGAAAACAAAAATGTATGGCCTGTGACCTATCTGAGACTTGCACTAAAATTGCCGGTAGTTAAATATGGTGGAGGGAGGGTGTGCTGGCAGAAAGAGGCTCCCAGGGACACGTGAAGCAAGTGGACCATGGCTGTGCTGGCTGGCAATCCAGGGCTTGTGCCTAAGGCCAGCTTCTCAGGGCTGCTGAAGCAACAGCTGGTGTATCTGTTCCTGGGGCCACCTGAGCAGCTTGTCCAGGAGCCAGCTGCTTGAGGTGGCCCTAGGGTCAGTCATGCTGACCACTGCAGAAGTTGCAAAGGTCACAGAAAGTCACAGAATCTGTGACTTCTGCGACCTCTGTTACACAAACGGAACGCCAGTCATAACTTCATTGTCATCAGTAAAGTTACTGTCTCTTATTGCAGCAGTAAATTTGACTTAATCTTTTGTTCAAGTTTCATAACAAGCCTTGTAACTGAGTTTCAATTTATGCATTTAAGTTTTCATTTTTTTTGTCAAACAAGCTACACATTGTGGCACACATCTGAACAAGCGCACTTGACCTCAATATTGGTGCACAAGACAAAACTCCCTCTGCTCAAGGATGGAAAATCTTAGCGGGAACACTGCATCTAAGATAAAATTTTCTAGAAATACCACTGCTATGTAGGTAAATGTGTGTATGTGTATGAGATAGGACATAGATATAACAACAAAGATATGATCTAGCTCAGAAATAATTTGTTGAATTCAGTAGTGTTTGTTTACATAGTTGGGAAGAACAGTTTCCTCACTCAGGAGATTATGGGGTGAAATACTATGGCTTGTGTTATAGAATCGTAGCAATATAGCCATTGACAGCCCATCAAGTTAAGTTCCCGCACTGAGGCAAGACCAATTAAATCTAAATACCCTTTAACATGCTTGAAGACTGTTATCAGGTACCCTATCAGTCATTTCTCAGGACTACACATGCAGGCTTTTTTAACTAGTCAGGATTTTTAAACCTTTTATTGTTTTTGTAGCTGTCCTGGACTTTCTTCAATATTGTCTTTCTTACAGTGCAGTGCCCTAAACTGGCCATAGTATTCCATCTAAGATCTCATCAGAGCAAAGTAGAGCGTAACAGGTATCTCCCTTGTCTGTCATACAATACTTCTGCTAATAAACCCCAAAACATTAGCCTGTTTTTACAACTGCATCATTGTTGACTCATATTCAATTTGTGATCTACTATAAACCCCTAATCCTTTTCAGCAGTACTAGCTAACTATGTTTTGTAGTTATGCATTTGATTTTTTTTCCTTCAACAAGAGAAGGAGTTTGCACTTTTCTTTATTGAATTTCATCTTGTTGATTTTAATTCTCTTATTTTATCAAGGTTGTTTTGTGTTCGATACCCATCTTCCAAAGTACTTGCAACAACTCCTAGTCATGTGCAGATTTCATATACATACTCTCTGCTCCATTGTCCAGATCATTAATGAAATTGACTAGAACAAGACCCAGTACTGAGCTGTTATGCAGGATGTCAAACTAGATTACTCCCTCATGGAGCTAATCTACAAGTAGTATTAAGGTCTGATATATTTTAGGGGAGGGTTAAGACATACTGTTGAGTCAAATTTGCTGTAAAAGACTTTGTAAAACAAGATTTTACAACACTTAAGACAAAAAAATTCCATGTTTAAAAATTCCAGTATAATCTTTAAAATTTACATAAAACAAACATGTTGCACTATAGCATTTCATAGGTCACACATTGCATCACTGGACCGAGGCATGAGAATCTGGGGGGAAATGATTAGACTATTTTTGTAAACAAGCGAAACTGACTGATCTGTTTTCGTCTTCCAAACTGAGAGAAGTCAATAAATGATATATAGTAAAAAAGTAATATATCTAAAGTTTTTTCAGCTTTTCCTAAGGCCTTCATCTTGCAGTCAAACTCACCAGCATATCTTCTATGTCTCTATCTTCAGATCTTGTGGCAGATCTTTCAAGATGAATGCTTGAGTAATACATGTGATGGGATTCAATTTTTTCTAACTAAGGCTATGATTTAGTCATGGGTATTTTAAATAAAGGTCGGGCAGAAAACAAAAATGTATGGCCTGTGACCTATCTGAGACTTGCACTAAAATTGCCGGTAGTTAAATATGGTGGAGGGAGGGTGTGCTGGCAGAAAGAGGCTCCCAGGGACACGTGAAGCAAGTGGACCATGGCTGTGCTGGCTGGCAATCCAGGGCTTGTGCCTAAGGCCAGCTTCTCAGGGCTGCTGAAGCAACAGCTGGTGTATCTGTTCCTGGGGCCACCTGAGCAGCTTGTCCAGGAGCCAGCTGCTTGAGGTGGCCCTAGGGTCAGTCATGCTGACCACTGCAGAAGTTGCAAAGGTCACAGAAAGTCACAGAATCTGTGACTTCTGCGACCTCTGTTACACAAACGGAACGCCAGTCATAACTTCATTGTCATCAGTAAAGTTACTGTCTCTTATTGCAGCAGTAAATTTGACTTAATCTTTTGTTCAAGTTTCATAACAAGCCTTGTAACTGAGTTTCAATTTATGCATTTAAGTTTTCATTTTTTTTGTCAAACAAGCTACACATTGTGGCACACATCTGAACAAGCGCACTTGACCTCAATATTGGTGCACAAGACAAAACTCCCTCTGCTCAAGGATGGAAAATCTTAGCGGGAACACTGCATCTAAGATAAAATTTTCTAGAAATACCACTGCTACCAAGATGGGGCAAAAGTACGTAATGAGAAGGCTTCCATTATATTACAGTATTTATTTAAAAGTGCTGGCCTTTGCCCCTTTTATTGCCATCTTCCTTTTGGTTATCCTGCACCTGATTCTTTATTGCCTTACATTTCATGGAGTAATTTACATTTATGCAAAATGGCAATACAATTTTATTATTCTGAACTAGCAAGTTACATGTATGTTCCACTCTCATGGGTGCAAATGGCAAGATAGTGGGGAATCAGAATGTAAAGATAGAGATAGGTAAGCTACTTGTCACTTACATGCTAGTGATATTAAACTCTGTGTGCCTCCATTGTTTCCAACAAAAAACAAATTATTCCATCTTATCTACCTTTAGCAAAGACAAAGATGCATCAATAAGTTCATAAAATCATAGAACTGGAAGCAACCTCAAGAAGTTATCAAGTCCAGTCAGAGGTGACCACTGAGAAGAGACAAATAGGGGACATAGCCCATGAGACATCCCCCCCCCAAACCTGGGGAAGTGCTGGGATTCCTTCCTCTGCCTCTTCCTACCCCTGCTCTACCCCCCGCCCTGCCTTTGATCCTCCCACCTCTTCCCTGAACCACTGTAGCCAGTAGAGTAACACAAGATGAGGCAACATTGCTCTGCTTGCTCTGCCAGTGAGTAAGAGAGGTTGTGGTGGTTGGATCCTTGATGCGGGCCCAAGATCCCCACTCTGGCCCTGCAGGCTGGCCTCTTGCCCTTCCTGCCCATGGCATTTTGGGGGATGCATGCCCCCACGTGTTGCCCCCGAGTCCAGTCCTCTGCACTCATGGCTGGATCAAGCACCATCTTCTAAACCATCCCTGCCAGTGTTTGTTTAACCTGCTGTTAAAAATCTACAAAGATGGAAATTTTGCTGCCTCCATCCTGACAGGAAGTTTTCCCTAATGTCCAGCCTAAACTTCCTTTACTGCAGTTTAAGCCCATTGCTTCTTGTCTTATCAGAGGTTACGGAAAATATTTTTTCTCCTTCCTCCTTGCAACAACCTTTTAGGTACTTGAAAGCTGTCTTCATGTCCCCTCTCAGGGTACATCTACACAGCAGGGCTTAGCTTAATTTGCGGAGCTTATTTCAAGTTATGTCAATTGCATAGCTTCTTTCGAATTGGGAGCATCTACATAGCACTTATTTAAAAATAGATCACCCTTCCTCTGACTTTCCTTACTCCTCGTACAATGAAGTTTACAGGAGTTGGAGTAAGAAGTCCTCCAGTTTAACAGTATTTCATTATGTCGAAATAACTGCCTGCTGTGTAGACATGGACTAAGTTATTTCGAAATGCTGCATAGATGTACCCTCAGTCTCTTTTCCATACAAAACCCAGTTATTTCAATCTTTCCTTATAGGTCATGTTTTCTAGACTGTTGCTCATTTTTTGTTGCTCTTCTCTGGACTTTTTCTAATTTTTTCACATCTTTTTTGAAATGAGGTGCCCAGAACTGGACATAGTACTCCAACTGAGGCATAATTAGAGCTGAAATATTACTTCTCATTTCCTGCTTCTAACACTCCTGCTGATATATCCCAGAATGATGTTCACTTTTTTGCAACAGTGTTGCACAGTTGGCTCATACTTATCTCGTGGTCCACTATGATATTTGGATCCCTTTCCGCAGTACTTCTTCCTAGGCCGTCGTTTCCTATTTTGTATGTGTGAAACTAATTGTTCCTTTCTAGGCGGAGTACTTTGCATTTGTCCTTATTGAATTTCATCCTATTTATTTCCAGTCATTTCTTTGTTTGTCCAGATCATTTTGAATTATAATCCTATCCTGCAAAGCACTTCCAGCCGCTCCCAGCTTAGTATCATCTGCAAATTTTATAAGAGTACGCTCTCTGTCATTATCTAAATTATTAATGAAAATCTTGAACAGAACTGGTCTCTGCAAAACCCCACTCGTTATGTCCTTCCAGCATGACCGTGAACCATTGATAACTTCTCTGGGAACCATTATCCAACCAGTTATGCACCCACCGTGTAATAGCTCCATCTAGGTCGTGTTTCTCTAGTTTATTATTGAGAAGGTCATACGAGACTGTATCAAATGCCTTACTAAAGTCTTGATATACCACATCTACCTCTTCCCTCTTATCCACAAAGTTTGTTATCCTGTCAAAAAAACTATCAGTTTGGTTTGACACTGTTTGTCCTTGGCAAATCCATTCTGACTGTTACTTATCACTTTATTATCTTCTAGATATTTACAAATGGATTCCTTAATTATTTGTTCCATTATTTTTCCTGGTACTGAAGTTAAACTGACTGGTCTGTAATTTCCTGGATTGTCTTTATTTCCCTTTTTCTAGATGGGCACTGTATGTACCCTTTTCCAGTCTTCTAGAATTTCTTCCATCTTCCAAGACTTTTCAAAGATAATAGCTAATGGCTCAGATACTTCCTCAATCAGCTGAAACAAAAAACAGGACTATGTAGCACTTTAAAGACTAACAAGATGGTTTATTAGGTGATGAGCTTTCGTGGGCCAGACCCACTTCCTCAGATCAAATTGGTCTGAGGAAGTGGGTCTGGCCCACGAAAGCTCATCACCTAATAAATCATCTTGTTAGTCTTTAAAGTGCTACATAGTCCTGTTTTTGTTTCAGCTAGACCAGACTAACACGGCTACGTATCTATTATTATTCCTCAGTCAACCCCTTGAGTATTCTAGGATGCATTTCATCAGGCCCTGCTGACTTCAAGACCTCTAACCATGCTACATAATTTTTAACTTGTTCTTTCCGTATTTTAGCTTCTGCATCTACCTCATTTTCAATGGTATTCACTATGTTAGGTGTCCAATTGCTATCAACTTTCTTGGTGAAAACAAAAGTCATCAAGCACCTCCATCATTTCCCCATTTTTTGTTGTCATTTTTCCCTCTTCATTGAGTAACGGGCCTATCCAGTCATTGGTCTTCCTCTAATTTCTAACTTATTTTTAGAATGTTTTCTTGTTACCCTTTATATCTCTAGCTAGTTTGAGCTCGTTTTGTGCTTTGGACCTTCTAATTTTGCCCCTGTGTACTTGTTATTTGGTTATATTCATCATTTGTAATTTGACATACTTTCTACTTTTTGTAGGACTCCTTTTTCTTTCAAGATCTCCTGGTTAAACTAGGGTAGACTATTGCCATCATTAAATGCGACTCAGATATCTTTCTTGACTTGGATGTTTCTTTTTCTCTGTTGTCCATAACTTTGGATGCAAGCTTAAGTATGAACTTTTCTGCCCTATCTTCTGCATTTGCAAATCCATCACCAACTGCCTTGTTCTACCTCTGCTGAAATCCTTGTCCGTAACAAAATCATCTTTTCCTTGGCTACTGTTAATTTTCTTCTCTTTGGTTTCTCCAAGTCTCAGCACTGCATGTGTGAAATATGAAGAAGAATGGAGGTGTCATCCCCATTTACAAACTACTCTGATGGTTCTATGTGGCTCATTTTGCCTCCCTTAATCTCCTTTTTTGGTCTAATACTATTTCAATTCTATCATGTTCTGGCTATTACTATTGAAAGAGCCTCCTTCTTTTCAACTTTTGCCATCTGAAACAGCCTTCCTTTATTCTGATAACTCACCAGTTCCATCTACATTCATACAGCACATGACTTTATGTATGTTTGATCAGCATCTTGTTTATACATGATCAATTATAATTATTGATGAAAATCTTCCTTGTAATCTCTCTATTATATATCCATTAACTTTGTAGTGATTCATGCCCTTGTTACATCTCGATTGGATTATTGTAATGCGCTCTACATGGAGCTGCCTTTGAAGAAGCTTCAACTGATCCAGAATGCTGTTGCTCGAGGTTTAACTAATACTCGTTATATGGAGCACATTATGCCGGTGATCTGGCAGCTGCACTGGCTTCCAGTATGTTTCCGGGCACAATTCAAGGTTTTGGTTATGACTTATAAAGCCCTAAGTGGGTTGGGATTGGGGTATTTGAAGGGGATTGATGTTGGCTGGGGAGGCTCTGCTCCATGTTCCTCCACTTATGGAGATACGGTTGACATCTACCTGGAGCAGGGCCTTCTCAACCTTTACTCCTAGGCTATAGAATTCTCTCCCGGGGACACTTGTCTGGCACTGTTTTGGTGCCAGGCCACAGCCACCCTTTTTACACATGCTTTTATTGGTGTTTAGTTTTGTGCGTGTGTCCCCCTCCTCTTGAGGTGTTTTAGGTGGTTTTATTTCCCCCCTGTGGGGTTCTGTATTTTACTTATAGAATGTGGGGTAAAAATATTTTAAATACATATTTAGATTCCTTAAAACATTTTTGGATATATGTATGAAAAATTATACAGAACCAAGTTGTCTTGTATCATGTGTAGGATTGTCTTATGATTTCAGTTAACGATAGTCTTATCTGAATAAACATTGAGTAAAAACTGAATAAGGAAATAATTTTATTTAGTAACTATATATATGAGGAGGATCTAGAGCAATGGCTATTTTACTTAATACATTAATAATAGTTGATTTTTTTTCTTTTAAATCTATTTATTTTAGATAGTGTTTGCAGTGATTTTGCTTATTCCTCACAAAATGGGTTAAACAATCCACTGTGTGGACTCTGGCAGCAGACACAAGGAACCGATGTTTTGGAGGGCAGGAGAATACCAGTGGATTCTCAGTCAAGTGTCAGGCTGTTCTCAGTACCTTAACACATATATATGTTTCAGAGATTTATAATATATGCTGAGATACCACTATCCGCTCATCCTTAGAATGTAGTTAACTTCCTAATGATTACAATACATAGATTATTTTTCTAAAATTGTATATATAATGGGCCAAATTTTCCCATTTTATGCTAGTTTAAGTTTATTAAGGAGAATTTGGCCTGATATGTGTAATTCTCTGCTATTATTCATAGAAGAAAGAAAAAGAAACTTACCCAGTGTTGCTCGGGTCCTTTAAGGCACAGCCTTGGGAATGTGGATGGGGGGGTGCAGGCGGCTGGTGGTCAGGGGTGTGTTTTCTCTCAACCCAGGCCAGGCCCTCAGCCCATCTGGAGCCTGTTCTCTCTGCCCTTTTGGGTCTGTGTCCAAGGGCCGGGATGGGGGGAAGGGATTTGTGGCAGGGGTGCTACTTACCAGTGTGCTGACAGGCAAGATGGTGGAGCCCTAGCCTTGCTAGCCACTCTCTTAATTATTAATATCAGCAGAACTGACTTAAATGGGGCCTGTGTGTTGTGTAGTCTTGCCTTTAATCTTTGTATTCATGCCCGTCAGTGTGAAAGAAGCTATTTGTATATATATTTGCATGTATATGCAACCACACTTAAGTTGTGGCCCTCGGGATGTGCTGTGAGTATCATTGTGGCGCTCAGGGCTTCCAAAGTTGAGGAGCCCTGCTTTACAAGATAGCTGTCCCCTGTGGACTTACTTCCCCCAGTGGCCACTCTCATATCGTAGCCCTCCATATTAATGGAAAACTGTCTCTTTCCTGTGGCTTCCAGTTCTCCTGGCACAACCAAACCCAGACCTTGCTTTAAGTTAGAATAAGAGGAAGCTGCATACCGAATTTGGTGGCCCCAGTGTTTACTGGTTAGGAGTTCTTGAATAAACAATCATCTGAAGAAGTGGGCTGTGCCCACGAAAGTTCGTGACACCATCTACATGTTTTGTTAGTTTTAAAGTGCTGTCAGACTATTTGTTGTTTTTTAAGTTTTATCCTGTACAGACTAACTCAGCTACCCCTCTGAAGCTTTTGGACTCACAGACAGACAGACACTCTAAAATATATAGATTCTTATGTCTGTATGGGCACTGCTGAAAGTTACAACAAATACACTGGTTGAACCTCTCTAGTCCAGCATTTTCTGGTCAGGAAACATCTGTGGTCTGGCATTCTTTTAGTTAGCTGGATGCCCACTTATCAGGGTGTGGTTAAGTTTCCTTTGGCCCCGTAAAGTTTGTTTACAGTCACCAGTCCTGCCTCTCAGTGTTCTGGGCAGTTATTTAGCTTCAGTTTACCCCTAAATATCTTCTGAGAGCCCAGTAAGCAGTGGTGTTGGTAATGCTGCTAGACAATATTGACTTCCCATGGTTTGGCAAATTCTCTGGTTTGATACTGGTCAGGTCCCAAGGTTACTGGATTAGAGAGGTTCAACCTGTATGTATATATGTATGTATAGTATCTATTTCTTGCTTTAGTCATCTCCTAATTGTTCTGTTCTGTTAAAAAGTTGTGCCTGCTACTTTTCTTGTCTATGTATTCTTTAAATTAATATTCTTTCTGCTTGCTTTCAAAACTGAGAAAAAATACTTTGTCCTGTCATAAGAAAGCTCTTTTAGTACAAAACAAAAATCCAACTTTTAAATACACTCACTTCATTGGTCTTGTTAACCATTACTATGAAGATAGGGCTAGCTTAAACAGTCAGCTGTTTTTGTGGATTACAAAAATGTTTCTTTTACTGGTATAATATCTTGTTCTTCTATTATCTTTTGAACACAGATGTTGCTACATAAAGACTGAAAATATACTTTGAAATGAAACTTTAGAGAAATAAAATGTGTAAAATGAATGTTGACATTTAGTCTCCTTTAATTTATTGCCTATGTTAAGTCTGAAGGTGGAGGTAAAAAGAAACTTAGCAAAGCTGAACGACTGAGATTACAGAAAGAAGAAGAAGAAAGAAGATTGATAGAGGAAGGTATAGTGTGTTTCACTTACAGGAAATTTAGATTACACCAAATCATTAATTAAATAGGCAGAATGAAAATTATGACTATTAATGATATCTAAATTCTATTTAATTTCAGTAGGATGATTTACTAGTGTTCCTCTGATCTTGAAGCTGGCTGTAATGTTTGGGAAAGCCCTAAACAAGGTTATTTTAGGGCTCACTGTGTTCAACTTCCTCTTCTACATACTTTTCCCGCAAGTTATTCCTCCCTTTGCCCCCCACAAATGTTTGGAAGGAAAAGTGAGGGTGGGGGACAGCCTTACAGTTTTTCTTTCTTTCCTTCTGGTACTTTCTCAGCCAAGTCAAACACAAGAGGGTAGAGAGGTAGGAGAACAGATGTTTCCTCTTCCCAACACTTAGTAATCTTCCCCATACTTAGTAATTGGGAAGAACAAGAAGTTCGAGGACCAGGACTTTTCTCAAAGTAGATCAACAGAGTATGCTGAATTTGAGCTCAGCACAGTGCTGATCAGTTCATTCAGATAGCAACAAACAGTCCATATTAATGTTAGGGCAGTCTTGCAAACAGAGATGAATTAAAAAAGCATAAACAAAATACAGGACTATGTAGCACTTTAAAGACTAACAGGATGGTTTATTAGATGGTCTTGTTAGTCTTTAAAGTGCTACATAGTCCTGTATTTTGTTTCAGCTACACCAGACTAACACGGCTACATTTCTATCACTAAAAAAGCATAGACAGTACTGGCTTGTATCTTTGACTGCATCTCCTGGAGTCACAATCTCAGCTACCATAACCCCCTGCCCTTCCCCTATTTCTTAGCCTTGTGGCTGAGAAGAAAATAGTGACATGTGATTCTAGTTTAGCTTATGTAATGACACTTGTCTGAATCTACAATAACTTTGAGACGTGCACACTATCCCATGCATCTCAATAGGTTATAAGCTCCAAGAGCAAGGGGAACCTTTCTACATTACCTTGGTAGAGGATGATTATATGGCAAGAGGAGATGAGCAAAGCAGATAAATACAGTTACTGTAGTTGGAGGGCCCCCCCTCCAGCTGCCACCTCTGCCTCTTGAGTAAGGTGGTGGGGAGAGAGGAATCCTGCTACTTCCCCTTCTGGTCCGGAGGGAAAAAGGACTCTGTTTTTGCTTCTCTGGAACTGTGAGAGTGGCACATCTGCCACTACAACTCCAAGTAGTGTAGGGCAGTGTTCCTCAACCAGTGGTATGAGTACCCTTATGGGTACTCGAGATAAGTCTGGGGGGTACATCAACACAACTGAAATTTGGAGAATTTGTTTTCAGTTTTACAGGTCTTTATTATTTTTATACTTTTTACACCCAAAAATTTAATCGCCTGCCTGGCTACAATTAAGTTGTTTAAACAAATGTGTTGCAATGGCTGAAACATTTTTGTGTGTCTGAAAACTGTAGGTACTGGGGGTACTTATAAATTTTTTTTTAAAAGGGGGTACTTTATGAAAAAAAGGTTGAGAAATACTGGTGTAGGGCCATGGAGATATCTGTGTGTGTAAAGCTGTGAATTGACTTTATCTAGTACTATGTCCAAATTAATGCACAGTGTAGATTGAACTCTTACTACTCCCTATTATTACAATTATTTTGAAATTAAATAATTGATCTGCTAGTTAGTTTTTAAAATAAGGTATCTATTTTTATTATTCAGGATGTAACTTTTGCTGATAATAGATTTCTAATTCTTCAGAGGAAGCCCGTTTACGAGCTGAACAAGAAGAAGCAGAAAGACTCGAAAAGGAGAGAATTTTGCGAGAGGAGACGGAAAGACTTGAAGCAAAAGTTAGTTCACAGTCATTTTAATAATCAGCTATTGCATACTGCAATAGGTTCTGAACTTCATGCCAAATCATCATTGTTTTGTTATGAAAAAGTGGGAATTTCCATTTCCTGAGAATGGAGGAGGAAGTATGGGGGAGTTTCCGGAATTCTTGGACCAAAGCTAATATTGAAAACTCTAGCCATAACATTGCGAAGTGTAACCCTATAATGACCACATGTTAGATGCCATTGGGCAGTGAACTGGGTCAGTAGCTAAATGAGACATCCAAGAAAAGCCAATGATGCTTAATAAAATGACTTGGTATGTGGCACCGTGTCCTCTAAGATGGTAATCATACAGTATGGAATAAAGAAGTGCTTATGTGTTAAAAGAAGATGTAAGCAAGACCCAGCTATTATATCTGATCATTAAAATTGGTACTCTTTGTGTGAGTAGAGATGTAACCTGCTGTCTAAATTCCACTCTGTGATATCAGATTTTGTTTTTCTACAAAATTCAAAATATTGTATTATGAAAATTTGGATTATTTTTAATGTTAATAATCTGTCCATTTAAGTACCTAAATACAATTGGGTTTTCTTTACTATAAAATAACTTATAAAATTAAACTGAATAGTGATTTCATCTATCTGATCATATAATAATAGGATCAAGAGCGGAGAGGAACTGAACTTGCAGAACTCCATTTGTTGGAAGAGAACTTTTTGTCTGCAATGCAATGGAAAGCAGATTATAGAGCGCACGCCAAGGTAAGACTACTTTCCAAAATATCCACATAGAATTAGAGGTTTGACAAAGAAGAGACTTTTAGATAATGTGCTTCTCTCTTCTATTACAAGATCATTCCCTTATTTTCTACTACTTTGTTCATTCTAGTTTTAAACATTAAAACACTGCATTAGTCAAAAACATTTCTAAGGAGCTGAGTGGCCAACATTTGCTCAGGTGAGTCAGGGTTGATGGAAGTCAGACAAGCCATGAAATTCAGAGTTAATGTTTCTATTTAAGTATAATGTGTTAAGGAATGGAAATATAAAGTTAACCAAATCCAAACAATTCCATCTTGTAGGGCTGGGGTGGCCAAACTTACCGACCCTCTAAGCTGCATATAGCAATCTTCAGAAGCTTCAGCCCCCTGGAGAAGTGCCTACTGGGATTTGGGGATTCAGTAGGAGTGGGACTGAAGCCCCAAGTCCCAGCAGGTACATCCAGTGGGGCTGAAGCCCTGAGATTTCCCCCTCATCACTGGGCAGAAGGCCCTACCCCACCACCCTACTCCATGGTGGACATGTGGGGCTCTACAAGAAACAGTTTCACTATAAAAAGAACCACAGTTTGGCCATCCTTGCTGTATAAGACATGCAATGCCCAGATGATTATTGTTAAGTTGTTTGCATATTTATGCAAATTAAGTTTCCAAACTAAGTTAAACTATATTTGAAAGATGCATTACATTTTTCCTTCCCCTACCATCCATTTTATGATGATGCTATAAGATAGAGGTAAGGTTGGTTGTATGCCCTACTTCTGCATCTCTGTATCTTGCCATCTTTGGACGTTTTTTTCTTTAACACGGTGGCTTTTTTACTGAAGGCAACCAGTTGCTTTTGTACCCCTGAGAACAGTAGAAATTACCAGTCATTTGAAAGAGGACCATTCTTTGGGGTATTCTACCAAGATTATTCTTCAGCCAGTGCTTAAGGAGTAATTGTGACAAATAATGATAAAATGTGGCCATTAATCTTTAAAAAAATATTAAAATGTCATATGCTCACAGTTTCAATTAGTTTTAACTTCATGAGAAGTGCAAAGAGTTTGTTCTGTTAAGAAGAACATTCAGACCAAAGAAAAATCTAATGCTAAGTGCTAAATTTCTGAAAGACCATAAACAAATTTAATTGATTTTACTTGTAAATTCTCAGAAAATTCATTCTGTACTCCAAGATATTTGTTACACATAATGAAAAGATTGAATCCTTGCTTTAAGTGCAAAATTTTAGCTCAAGCATATCCCTACTTGTGGATTCATAGTTGACTCTTCTGTAATGCCAGGCTCTGTTCAGTGTTCTCAGTCCTCACACTTCGTGATCAATCACATGTATTCAAAACTGTAAAAATAATGGAACGATTTTGTGATCAGATGCTGTTTTTAATACATACCACTTACTGAATTTAGAGGTAGTATTTTAAAAAGTGCTCAGCATTGGCCTATTTTTGCTCCTTCTGAAGTCAGTGGGAATTTGACCATTGATTTCAGTGGGAGTACAGCCATGCTAAGGCTTAGTGATTTAAAAAACTCTACCTCAAGTCTTTAAGGCACTTTACAAACATCATCTAATTAATTGTCACAATATACAGTGAGGCAGTTTTTATTATGATCCTTATTTAAAGATGGGAAAACTGAGAGAAAGATGTTGAGGCCCTAGAGTGAACGATGGATGAAAGTGGGTTTAAGATTCAGGCTCGGTCTACATTGAGAGTTGGGGATATCCAAGCTCAAGGAGATACACTTGCACTAGCTTTGTTGAGCTAGTATGCTAAAAATAGTAGTCTAGCTGCAGCAGCACAGCCATAACAATGGGCTAGCTGACTAAGTACATACCCATGTGGTTTGGATGGGTTTGTGTTTGGGTGACTAGCTTTTCCTGCTTCTACTAATACTCCTGCTGGTAGGCTACAACATTTGTACACTAGCTCTACAAGAACAAGCACAAATATCCCTCTTTAAGATACAGGTGTAGACATACCTTTAGTTTTGTGAGTTAATCACTAGACTACATATACTTCTCTCTCAAAACCCTTGTACTTGTGTATTGTAATTATGATATTTTGAGGCATTTGTCCCTATGATATTTGGATTTGTTTTTCTTTAAAAAAAATATTTAGTGGGAACATTACATGCAATGTGATGGGAGTCCTGACCCAGCTGTGCCCCAAGAAATTAATACTTTCATGACCTTGTGGAGAGAAAATAAAAATGAAGATATTGAGTTTGTGATTGAGAAAGGAAACCAAGTGTTAAATGTAAGTGTTAAAATGGTATTTGTAAAGTTCTTGGTTACCAATAGCTTACAATCTGCAAAATGATCCTGTATACCCTTTGGCTGTTTGCCTGTAATTGATCATCATTCGGATGATCTGAAATTTTTGTGTGTTTGTCTTCCACTGATATGCTGTCTTCACTTTCCTTCATTATAAATTTATTATTAGGAGACAAGGAATATAAAACCTTTGGTCCAGAAATCTAGCATCCTGCCTTTCAGTAGCTCATGCTTCTGAGTGTGAGCAGTTTGCTTAAAACGTTACAAGGGAACAATGTTTAAATATACAGTGCTTGTAGAGATTGGATCCAAAATTTTGATTGGATCAAATACCCTCCCAAATTGACAAAAGTTTCATTAAGCTTCAAATCTGAACATTACAGTTTATGCTGTCTGTAGAAGCTTCAATAGAAAGAAGCCTCCATTCCTATCATTCTTCTAGCCAATCTAGTATTGTTTTACAACATGGTATTAGCAATTCAAATTCCTTCTTAAACCTTAGAGCAAACTGCTTATGCTCAGAAGCTTGAGATCTTCTAGATCTTAATTATGCCCATTCACAGTATTTGACTCTTTTTATGGTCATATTGAGTTGGTACAGGACTATATGGAATACTAGAAGTTCTCTGATGGCCCCTTCATTTTCTAGGGAGTTTAAACTTTCATTTAAAAAAAATACAAATTTTCTAACCTTATGGTAGCAAAGAAAGCCTTGCAGAAAGTAGAGTCAATATATTTTTGTTGTCTTGCATCTACAGCTAGGACTTCTGAAACAATTGTTCTAAAAGAAGCAAGAATTTCTATATTTATACCAATGACTAGTTCGCACTGAAATAGGGATGTAAAATCCTGTTTAATTGGCTAACTGTTAAACAATATGTTTAACCAGTTAACCAATTAAGGGGAGATGAGTGGGGGGGCTGATCCCCACCTGGTTGGAGCAGCCCACCTGCCTGTTGCTGGGATGGAACACTCCCTCCACCACTGCAGACATTGTGGGCTGCTCCAGCATTCTAGTTGGCATAGTCCCTGATTGCAGGGAGTCACACCCTAGCCAGGAGCTGCTCTGCAGGATGCCAGAGCAGCCTCTGTCTGTGGCGGGCTCTGACACCTCACAAACATGGATTGCTTCCTGGTCAGAGCAGCCCCTTCCTGCAGGGTTTCCATGCTGGACACAGACTAGGACTGTGTTGGAGCAGCCCCTGTCCATGATGGGTCCCACGTGGGCCTGGAGCAGCCTCCTGCCCACAGCAGGCAAGGAGCTGCTCTGGCCCCACTGGTTATCCTTGACTGGCTAAACCTTCACACCCCTACACTGAAGACACAATGATACTCTAGATGCTAGCATATTGTTATTTACTGCTGATCATTTTAGAAGGATCTTTAAGGAACTTGGATATCATTAATGTAATTTCAAATGAATGGATTTGAGCTCACTTTTTTACTTCTGTTTTGATCCCTGGACTCCAACGTCCTTCAGCAATGCATCTTTTTGGGGGTTGGCTTTTTGGGAGGTTGGCTTCCTAGTGTTGTACCCAAAAACTGCATTCTCCCAGAACTGAAGTGGTTCAGCGTCTGCATTGCTCTCCATTGTGCCTTGTATAGGGGAGACCAGAGGCCCAGCAGCACAGGGTGAATGGAAGCCTCAGAGTGCAACATGGCAGGTGACAGTGGAGCGATCAGCACACTGGGGAACAATTCTAGTGGGATCAAAACTCCAAATAAAAATGTCTTTGTGTAAAAGTTTTACATAAGGAAAGCTCATGAGGATGTTCTCCCTGTTTATCAATGAAAGGGAGCCTTGCACACTGGTCATTCCACCTATGTAACAATTATTTACACTGGGCCTGATAGTAAATAAAAGTGTTTTTACTTAATAAAAACAGTAGGATTCCAGTGGGAGCAAGTGAAACCATGCAGATAAAAATAAGTTACTAATGAAAAGAAATGTATAGCTCGCTCTAATTTATTAAAAACTTATTGCAATCATAATTTTACCCTAAAAGGCTGTTTTTATTTCAGGCATAGTCTTCAGGTTAGAGACTCTTTTACCCTGACCTGGGTTTCTAGACCTTTGTACCCTTTCAGGGTTTTCTAAGCCAGCCGAAGACAAAGTGCTGATAGCTTCCCATTGTTTACATAATCTTTCCCCCAGGGTGGGAATCTTTTCTTTTTTGAGTAGTGTCCCCGTGGGTGCTCCACTCTAAGTGAAGGGTCACCCTGAGCTGCAGATCGGAGCTTTGTACAGCAGTTTCCCCCGTTGAGCCACTCATGCCCAGGAAGCATCTCGAGCCCTTCCCGCCTCCTGAAGCACGTGGCTCAACCCCCTCCCTATCAGTTCCTCTTTAAATGCCCTCATCAGCCGACGGAGCAAACAGGAGCTCCCTGTCAGACTCTCTGACTACTCTCCCTATAGCTAGTTTAGGCATAGTTGTTTCCCCTGTTATATTCCAAGTTACCGTTTCCTTCTTTCTTTCTCTCCCTCCCCCCACCCCCCAAAAACAACAACAACAACGACAAAACCCAACTAGTAATAGGAAGAATAGACTTAACAAAATCCCCCCTCAGGGGGCTTGAACCCGCTTCAAACTGGGACTCCGATGAACTGACGTTCTCCCGGCTGTTCAACACAGGAAAGAAAGAAAAGAGATTAAAACAAACAAAAAAACCCAACAACACACAGAGACAGAAAACAACGACAATAACAGCTAAATAAATAAATAGAACAAGCTCAAGGAGGAGAGAACCAGCCATGTCCAGCTCCTCAGGCTTTAAAAAATGCGATCAATGCTGGGATCCTATGCCGGCTTCAGATGGCCATTCAATGTGCATTCTCTGTTTGGGGGAAGCTCACTCTCCCCACAGCTGCACTCATTGCAATTCACTCATAGCGAGAGCCAGAAAGGACCAAGAGCTCCGCCTGAGAATGATTCTATTCGTAAAGGCTTTACAGCCCACTGGGGAACAGGCGCGTCAATACCCCCTCCCCTCCCTACCCTCCAGGAGTGAGTCGAGAGGCAGAGCCTCAACATCCCACTCCCTTTCAGCCTCTTCCTCTCCAAAACATAGAGGAGAGGCACACCACAGTGGGAGGATCCCTGCCACGAAGTCTTCGGAGCGATCCTCTCACTCTGCACCGTCATCGAGGCAAGCTACAGCTGAGCAGCCCCAGGAGTGCTCTAGGCAGCCAGCACAGCAAGAAAAGCCGGCGCCAATTCAAACTGCAGTGCCGCTTCCAGCCCCGGCGCCGTTTCAAGCCTCGGCGGTGCCGAAAGCCCCGGCACAGCTTAAAGCTGCGGCACCAATTAAAGCCACGGCACCGCAGCAAAACGAGGTCCAGCCTGCTAAGTGGCCAGCACCAGGTACAGCTAAGCAGCATGATGCTGCACTGACACTGCCAGCACAGCCAGTCAAGCAGCCAGATGAGGTTGCTAGGGATCAGCCCCAGCAGGAAACTGACTCTCACAGCAGGCATCACTATCCGTGCTTGCCTTCTATGTCTTACTCCCCTGGGAGGTCTCCATCAAGGCAATCCCTTCCCAGGTCTATGTCACCTTTATCCTTTCAAGACGCTTCTGTTCCTGAGGATGACCATCACCGGTCTATTCCTCGTGACACACATCACCTAGGAAGTCTCGCTCCCATCATTACAGGGCTCCACCATAACAGCCTTACCAACCCCCTCCTTATCCACTGCATTGGGGACCTTGGGAACACTGGGAGCCATACGGATGCCACTCCCCAGCTCGCTCTACTCCATCCCAGAGAAGCTTGCCTCAGCCACAGCCCCTACCTCAAGCAAGTCTTTCGGAGGAAGAGGCGGAACGAATCTCAGACAGTGAATCAGACATTCATTCAATAAATGTCACACACTCTGATGTCCTCATTGCACAACCAGATGATGCGGTAGTACCATCAGACTCTGGAGCAATTGACGATCTAAAACAGTTCCAAGAACTATTCAAGAGAGTAGCGACAAGCCAGAACGTCTCCCTGCAAGAGGAGCAGAAGAAACAATACCAATTAAAAAATCTACACCCTACACTACATAGCAAGATTATCCTGCCCATAGACGAAGCAATAATGGAGACCTCGGAAGACCTGTGGAAAACACCCACATCCATTCAACCAACTAATAAGAAAATCGACAAAGTATTTTCTCCCCTCAAAAGTATTTTGTCCCCTCAAAAGACAACGACTTTCTCTTCACGCACCCACAACCTAATTCATTAGTTGTAGACTCAGCACACAACGTGCAAAGTTCCCATAATACAGGACGGGCAATGCAGACAAAGACCTCAAAAAGTTGGACTCCTTTGGCAAGAAAGTATACTCTTCCACCCTACAACTCAGAATATCGAATTACTCCGCTGTCTTAGCAAATCATGACTTTGACAATTATTTGAAACTGGGAGAACTGATGCCACATCTCTCTGAGTCCAAAAGATCCATCTTGAAAGCAATAGTTCATGAGGGCCATACGATCACCCACACCGCTCTCCAAACTGCAATGGATGCTGCTGACACCGCAACCCGAGTTACAGCTACAGCGGTGGTGATGCATAGAGCTTCTTGGCTCCAGTCGTCTGGAGTTCCCTGTGAACTCCAGCCCAAAGTGGAAGACTTGCCATTTGACAAGCAAAGCTATTTGCAGCTACTACGGACGAAATGCTCCTTAACAGCAAAAATTCTAAGTCCACACTTCACACGTTGGGCATGTACATGCTGCCTTACAAACGCAGATGATACACCCCATATAACTCATACTACCGATACGGGCAATACAATCGACCATAGAGGCCCTATGAGCACACCCGTACAAGACAACGAGGTCCCAGAAGGTGCCCCAACCAGGCCCGCCCACCAGCTACCCAACCATCTAAGCAACAAATTTGAAGATTTGGTCGAGGGCCTGCAATACCTCTCTTACGATCTAGCACCAGTTCAACATGGCCATCTATTCACCCACTGTTTGCGGCCATTCCTTGCACAATGGGAATCCATAACATCGGACCGCTGGGTTCTAGAGATAATTCGAGTGGGCTATACCATCCCATTTACCTCTATACCTCCTATCCTTCCCCCTACCCCGTCCCTCTTCAGGGACTGCTCTCACAAAACCCTTCTAAAATGAGATCGATCGACTCCTCGTCATCGGAGCTATGGAAAGAGTACCCCGAGAGTTCCACGGGAGAGGGTTTTACTCAAACTATTTCTTAACCGAGAAACGAACAGGGGATTGGAGACCTATATTGAACCTCCGCAAAATGAACAAGTTTCTCAAGAAACAGCATTTCAAGATGGTCACTCTCTCTGCAATCATTCCTGCGCTAGATCAAGGGGACTGGTTCGCAGCCCTCGACCTCCAAGATGCCTATTTCCATATAACCAGCCACCCCTCCCACAGACGCTACCTACGCTTTGCGCTCGGACCAGACCACTTCCAGTACAAGGTTCTCTCTTTAGGTCTCTCATCAGCTCCGAGGGTATTTTTGAAGGTACTGGCAGTCGTATCTGCGTATCTCAGACAGCAGAATGTCATCATATTCCCCTATCTGGATGACTGCCTTCTAAACGGATCCTTGTACGCCGAAACCACCTCTATGATACATATGACCACAGCCCTCCTCAGTCATCTAGGCCTTCTAATCAACAAAAGACAAATCAACTTTGCACCCGGTTCAAGATATAGAGTTCATTGGTGCACGTCTGGACTCAGTTACAGCCCGAGCATACCTACCTCAGCAACATTTTGCAACTATACAGGAAATTATAAGCGGGATGCTCACAATTCCTACCACCACAGTACTTACATGCCTCCGACTAATGGGACACATGGCTTCCACCACCTACGTAGTCCACCATGCTCGCCTGCACTTTTGATGCTTTCAGCTCTGGGTGGTAACCGTTTACATCCCATCACGACACCGTCAAAACAAAAGGGTTACTATCCCACCAAACATGCTCACATCCTTACAATGGTGGACAGTGCCAAACAATCTTCTGGTGGGGATTCCATTCCAACAAATCAAACCCACTATCCAAATCACCACGGATGCTTCCCTGCTCGGCTGGGGGGCACATATGGACGGTCGCAAAGTTCAAGGCAGGTGGTCCCCAAACGAGACACTCTTACACATCATTTTCCTCGAATTGAGGGCAGTAAGGAATGCCTGTGCACACTTTGCCTCCGACATCGCCAGTCATACAGTCTGCATCCTAACGGACAACATCTGCACGATGTTCTACATAAACAGACAGGGTGGAGGCCGCTCCCGCTCTTTATGCGCGGGACTCGTGCATCCGCAACCAAGTCACCCTTATAGCATCCTACCTGCCCGGGGTGAACAACACGAAAGCGGACTCCCTCAGTCGAAACTTCACCTTACACCACGAATGGGAGTTATATATGGAGGTCACAAACTCAATTTTCCACCAATGGGGATGGCCATCTATAAACCTCTTTGCTTCTACCCAGAACACCAAATGTCCCCAATTCTGCTCACGTGGGGGACTTGGCAAAAACTCTCTGGGGCATGCCTTCCTAATCAAGTGGACAGCCCCCCTACACTACGCCTTTCCCCCCATACTGCTCATCCCAAGAGTTCTATACAAGATCCTGAGAGACAAAGCCCTAGTTATCCTGATTGCCCCATCATGGTCTCCCCAAACCTAGTACCCATACCTTCACAGGCTAGCGGTCCAGCCTCCCCATCCATTACCATACCGGATAGACCTACTATCTCAGGATGACGGCGGGATACTGCATCCACAACTCCGTACCCTGCATCTTCAGGCATGGCTTCTCTCTGGTTCTTGAGATAGAAGATTGCTGTTCCCAGCGAGTAAAAGACATCCTCCTCCATAGCAGGAGGCAGTCTACTCGGAAAACTTACCAGCAGAAATGGACACGATTCTGTCACTGGCGTCAGCGAGCCAAAGTGGAACCTCGTGCCTCCCCACTAAATACCATTCTAGACTACATTCTGGACCTTAAAGCATCAGGACTATCAATCTCCTCTCTAAGAGTACACCTCTCTGCAATAGCAGCATTTCATACCTCGGTGGACGGCTTCTCCATTTTTAACAATCCTATCATGAAGAAATTCCTCAAGGGACTCCAGAATGTATATCAACCGTATAAGGCCCCACCTTCCTTGTGGGACCTAAATCTTGTTTTGGAATACCTCATCAGACCTCCTTTTGAGCCATTGGCAACAGTACCACTTCCCTTCCTTTTTATGAAAGTCTGTTTCCTTGTAGCCATCATCCCCATCAGGAGGGTGAGCGAACTCGGAGCATTAATGTAAGAACCTCCTTACAGTTTTTGCGAAGGATAGGGTCATACTTAGACCCCAGCTGACGTTTTTGCCAAAGGTCTGTACAGAATTCCATCTCAATGAACCGATCGTATTACCTATCTTTTTCCCAAAACTGCATTCTTCACAGACAGACGCCAGCCTGCATACTCTGGACATCCGGAGGGCTCTGGCCTTCTTCCTAGAAAGAACAAAACCATTTCGTAAATCTGAAAGACTTTTTATCTCCATCGCTGAACGATCCAAAGGGACACCAATATCATCTCAACAAATCTCAAAGTGGATATCAACATGCATAATTAAGTGCCACTCTCTGGGTGATAGACTGCTACAGCGCCCACCACGAGCTCATTCCACCCGAGCCCTGGCTGCTTCTACAGCCTTCCTGGGCAACGTCCCCTTTAGAGACATTTACTGGGCAGCGACATGGTCTTCACACCATACCTTTGCTAAACATTACGCTATCCTTCCACAACTCAAGAATGATTCAGCAGTTGCCACAGCAGTGCTCTCTACCACTGCCAAACGCTGACTCCGGCTCCCTCCAGCCAGATATCCAATACTGCTTTGTAGTCACCTAGAGTGGAGCACCCACGGGGACACTACTCGAAGAAGAAAAGGGAGCTACTCACCTCGTGCAACAACAAGTGTTCTTCGAGATGTGTGTCCCCGTGGGTGCTCCACAACCCTCCCTGCCTCCTCTCTGCTTGAAGTCAAAATTACTCGGACGGAGACGAGGAACTGAAAGGGAGGGGTTGAGCTGTGCACTTCAGGAAGCGGGAAGGGCTCGAGACGCCTCCTGGGCATGCGTGGCACAACAGGGGAAAGTGCTGTACAAAGCTCCGATCTGTGGCTCAGGGCAACTCTTCACCTAGAGTGGAGCACCCACGGGGACACAAATCTCAAAGAACACTCGTTTTTGCACGAGGTGAGTAACTCCCTTTTCTACATCCCTGTTTTCATAGAGAAATACCAGGGTCAAAATGGAATCTAAGTACCAGGTGGAATGATCAGATGTCTTGCTAGTCAAATCACCTTTGGACTTACAGGACAAACAAGACTGTTGACAAGTCGCTAAGGCTTCCAGGGGCACCAGTAATGGCTCTTATTAGCATATTTAAAACTGTAGACACTCTAATACTTCATATTTCTAACTTCTCGTACAAGAATGATACATGCATCAAAATAGGACATACCGATCCCGCCAATTATAACATTAAAATTGATAGCTTATGTGAGGTATTTTGTCCAAAGCATCTCTGAGTTATGCATATTTATATTCATAAGCCAATTTAATAAAACATGGGGGGACTGTCACACCCAGTATCCTATTTCCTGGAAACTAAGCAAATTAATTTTACTCTGATTTCAGGTTTAAGAGTCTTGATTCAAGTTCAAAACAGATCTCCTAAAATAGAATTCTTACAGTAATTCATGGGTACTCATGTCAATCGACTTAGAGTATGTCTACAGTACAGAGTTTTTTTCGGAAAAACTTGAGTTATATCCACACAGCAATTACATTCTTTCGAAAAAAAATCAAAAGAACAGAGGGATTTTTCCGACATTGATAATCCTCATTCTATGAGGAAGAAGTCTTTTTCTGAAAGAGCTTTCGGAAAAAGGCGCGTGGACGGGGAAAGGGGAGTTCTTTTGAGAGAAGAGAAAAAAGCACAAGTTCCCCGGTGGCCATTCGGCCCATAGTAATCACAGCTTACATGCAAGAGAGCATCCATTCAGTGTGGGTGCCATCTTTTGAAAAAGCAGATCACTTTTTTGATGTGTTTTGGCAGTCTGGACGCTTTCTTTCGGAAGAAGTTTTTCCAGAAGATTTTTCTGGAAAAGATTCTTCCAAAAGATGCCTGTAGTCTAGACATAGCCGTTATCAGTTAGGGAGTTGTCCTGGCAGCGCTCACGCGCAACCACATACACACACAAAATTACATCTGGAATTGTTGACACTCAGGCCAGGAACCTTGTTGTCTGTAGGCAGCTTAGTGAGCCAACAATAAGTCTTTTTTTTTAGCTGTATGGTGCTTGTTTCTGATCCGACTGGTTGTCCCTATGATAGCTGTGATGAGATTAGACAATAATAAATATATTTTTAAGAAAACAAACAAATAAATCTGTCCCAAGCAGAGTTTCTGTGCCCTGAATTTTTTCTTGCTCAATAAGTCAGTCCTGCCCTGAATGAGGGCAGGATCCTGCGGAAAAAAATAGTATGAAATGACATCATAGAGGACTGTATCATACTATGTATGTATGAGAGAGCTAGATTAAGGTTGACCAGACAGCCTTAATTCTGGCATTTTCTGATTTTTAAACCTTAATGTTTTTTAACATAGTTTGTAAATGTATTATAGAAAATTCTGGTAACCAATATTTCTGTATATGCAAAAGAAGAAAATTTAGGTCATATTTTAATAAAAATCATATTCCCACCATATGCCTCCCTCCCCAAAAAGGAAATATAACTGTTATGATTTGATCTGAAAGCTAATGTTGAAAATATAATATCTTTTAGTTAATCAAAAAGTTGGATTTTCTATTGTTGGATACCCCGCCAAACGAGCTAACGGAAAAGATTATAGCTCAGTACCAGGAGTCAATTCTGGAATTGCAAAGTCTTCTTCATCAGAAATACAATGAAGCAACAGAGCACCTACTTAAAGTAAATATGTTTGTATTTTAGTTGTTCTCAAATATTGTTCATAAAATATCAAGGGCAATGGTAAAGTAATAGTTCTGTACATAAGGTTAAATTGCAGAAGTGACTTTTTTATACATTGTGATACAGACTATTATGTACATTTCCCCAGCTCAAACATCGTGTACTAGAAGTGATATTTCTGATAATTCTTTCCTTAGAATTTTTAAAATTAACCTAAGGATATTCAATTCAGAGGGAGCTGGGTAACTAAGTGTGATTTGACACTGTGGGGATTAAGTGGTCTTTGAAAATCCTGGCCTTAACTGTCACTATGATTTAAATTAGAAGAAACCATGGATTAAACAAACAAATAGTGATTAAATGCAAAATATTAAGTCATTAAAAGTTTAACAGATACAATTTATAACTTTAAAACAAATTTGTGAAAGACTTTTAACTGAGTGTATGAGATGAAAAATATTATATCAAGATAATGAATATACACAGGTAAAACCAATATATATTCAGTTGGGTCATCTACTTTGCATGCCAATTTAAACAGTTGTTTCTGATATGGATTTTATATGGATGTTAAGATAGAGAATGTGGTTGGAAAACATGTACAGGCAGTCCCTGGGTTACGTACAAGATAGGGACTGTAGGTTTGTTCTTAAGTTGAATTTGTATGTAAGTCGGAACTGGTACATATTGTAGGGGAAACTCTAGCCAAACATTTCTCCAGAGCTCAGTTTTATTCTCCCACACCTCACTTCCCTCAGTCCTTTATTCTCAAGCTGAGGTGTCTGCTGAGAAAAGCCGCTCCGCATCTCCCTGGTCTGCTGGGGGAGGGGCGCTAGCTTCGCGTCTTGCTGGTCTGCTGGGGGGAAGCAGCTTGTGCGGGGTTGCCTCACCCCGTTTGTAAGTAGGGATCCGATGTAAGTTGGATCCATGTAACCCAGGGACTGCCTGTATACAGTTGAAGGAAAACATGAAAAGGTGGAAGGAATTAACTGTATGTTTGCAATGAAATTGTTAGATAAATGTGAAATTGATTATTTAAGGTTATGAACTGGAATCAAGCTTCATGAGTTCAATTGAAAGAGGCTTTTTCGAAAGATTCTTTTGAAAAAGCCTTTTTTGAAAGAGGACGTCTAGACTGCAACCACTTCTTTTGAAAAAGCAAGCCGCTTTTTCGAAAGAGAGCACCTCGGCAGTCTGGATGTTCTCTTTCGAAAAAGCCCTGGTTGCATTCAAGTATGCCTTTTTTTGAAAGAGCACTTTCGAAAAAAGGTGTTCTTCCTCATAAAATGAGGTTTACTGCGGTTGAAAAAACCGCCACGTTCTTTCAATTTAATTTTGAAAGAACGCAGCGGCAGTCTAGACACCGGAAGTTTTTTCGAAAAAAGCTCCCCCCCCTTTTTTTTTAAAACCCTGTAATCTAGACACACCCAAAGATATCAAATGTGTTGATATCAAACCAGTTTACATAGTTCTTCATTTTCGGCTATGACTCAAAGTTCTTTTAGTCATTCTGACATCTGCAACCTGATCCAAAGCCCTATGTAAAGTAAATAAATGTTTTGGGTTTTTTTGGCTTTTCCGGTAAACAGTGTCAACAAGATTTGTATTCTTTTAAATATTGTCTATTGATTAAATGTGCCTAGGACTGTGCAATGTGCAACTGTTGTCCAACAATACTCTCATTCTGCTACATTTAATGGTCTTTTACTTCGTGACTAGCTCTAAGGAGGTCACTAAGTAATGGCCTATTCGACTTAATCATGGTACGATCAGGCTCAACATTTGATAGTGCCTCATTCAGCTTAATTAATGCTAATGTGGGAGCTTAACTGTAAGAGTACAAAAATGCAAAGCTACATTTTCAACAACAACTATAACTTGGCCTTTTCCCATATTTTCTGATGTTGACCATACCTTTTTATGTCTTAACAAATAAGTGCCATGTGACTCAGCTATAATTGCTATAGTGCAGGGGCTCTCAAACTTCGTGGCACCATGACCCTTTTCTGACAACAAAAAACTACTACATGACATCAGCAGGAGGGACTGAAGCCTAACCCTGCTTGATTCCATTGACCTGGGTGGAAGGGCCAAAGGCCAAGCCCCACCATGTTGGGCCAGTGGAGGGTGGAGAGAGAAAGCTGAAGCCTAAGGGCTTCAGCCACAGCCAAGTTGTCTAGAACAGTGTTTCTTAAACTTTTTAAGACCGAGGAACACCAAACAATTTTTTGTTTTTTGGGGAAAACCAAGGATTTTTTTGTTCAGCAAGCAGCAAAAAAAAAAAAAAAAAAAAAAGGCTTGCCCCTTTAAGGGTGGCCATTCCCAAGGGAAAAGTTGTTAACCAAAAAAAAAAAAAGAGTTTGTCCTTTATCAGAAGAGCAGGCCACTTTGAACTCTGTTTTCCATGGCACACTGCCTCACAGCACACCTGTGTGCCACGGAACACCCTTTAAGAAACACTGGTCTAGGACATTAGCCCTGCCACCCAAGGCTGAAGTCCTTGAGCTTCATCTAAAGCCCTGGGTGGTGGAGCTTGTGCTTTGGCCTTCTCATCCAAGCCCCCCAGCAAGTCAAAGCCAGGCCGGCAACCCCTTATAAAACGGGGTCATGACCCACTTAGGGGCCCCAACCCACAGTTTGAGAACTGCTGCTGTAGTGTATTCTTTTTCTTGTGTATTTTTGGTTTTATACGTTTTATGGAGTTATTTAAAAGGTTTTACTAATCTTTTAAAAGTTGTATCGGAAGGCCAATTCTCTTACTGTAAAGATGCCATTAATTAATGATTTGTACACATTATTCAAGACGCAGAACTTTGGACTCCCGTTGACTGATGTAATGCTGTATAGTCATGTGGGTGTGCCTGTGTGTATCTGAGTTGGGACCATTGTTAGTTACAGAAGTTAGTCAATTAGGGAACAGAAACAAAATCACTTGATTTATATAACTAATCAACAGAGAGTGAACTGCAATTTTTTACTATGCAATTAGAAGTTCTCTTTTGGTTAATATAAGTATTTAATCTAAAATTTCATTTTCAAGGGTATCATTGCTAGTAACATTTCAGCTTTGAAATGTTGAAGGAAAGAGACCCAAAAAAGTTACAGACTTGCTCAAATAAAAATTCTCTTTCAAATCAAAGAAATATTTTCCATTATTGCTCAGTTCTGCTAACAAACTAGATTAATGATAAGCAGTCACTTATTTACTGTACTTAATTTTACATTAAATATGAAACATATACCAATCTGTCATAGGAACAGCAGATTTTTAGAGTCAGTGATTAGCCTCAGTGTCAAGGTTGAGAAACTCAAGATCCTACCTTCAGGTGGTGTGAGGAATTCCACTGACATCACTAGAAGTACTTGCAAGGCCAAATCTTTGCCACATTGAAGTGAATGGTAAAACTCCCATTGGAAATGAGAGCAGAATTCAGTTGACAGTGCATAAAGATAAGCTTGTCAATGAGTCTTTGTAGGACCAAGGTCTTAATCTGCAAAATGTATTACAAGGTTTAATTTGATGGGTATTAGTAACCGGGATACTCTGTTGAACAATATAAATCATTTCTTCCTCTCATGTTGGTCCTCCCGCAATAGAAACTCCTGTTTGCCTTGTTGATCTAAGTAGTTCCATTGACTTTAATGTGATTACTCATCTAAGTGGGGAAAAAATAGCTTTCAATGTTATGTTAGTTGGTATCAAGATCCACTTCTTCCTCTCTGGCTTGGTCGCTTATACTGACAGGGAAGGTTGTCTGGATTCTCTAGTTCAAACAGCTTTTCCTGAGTCTGCAGGGTATTTCAGTCTCTCACGGAACTATTGAGAGGAATTTTTATTGAATATAGTTTGTTACATTAAACTTTGACTTTTTAAGTTTGCTTAACATAGATGCCAAACTATTTTCTACAATCAGATATCATTTGTGTAAAGTGATCTTTCATCACAGTGCTCTGAAATCAAATTAATTTTTTTTTTTGTAGAAGGCTAATACTTATGCAGATTCTGACAGCGGAAATATGGAGGTGGTCATAAAAGATAAAAATATCACTTTCTGTATTTGGGGAAACCTCAAGAAAAATCCAAGGTACGGTATGAATGTGACCTTATTTCAAATGAGCTCTGTCTTTGTGCATTTCCATGGAATAAAAACGCAGAGCAAATTTCTGACAATTCTTATTTGTGCTGAGTAGATCTTTGCTCTACAAGTGGCCCGTATCTGCCTGAAGGGCTTGGGTAGAGTGCCAGACACTGGAACTTTGCAAGACACCTGTAAGATTGCCTTCTGAGGACTCCCTTGCAAGTCCTAGTGTAGAAAGTGTACATAGGGCGGGCAGGCTATGCTGGGGCAGAGCTACAGCATTATGGAGAGCATTGCAGCATGTAGGACAGCCTAGGGAGACTTCTGTAACTTTTGCCCTCCAAAAGTTCCTACAGTGGTAAGGAGATAACTGATTTGTTTGTTCTCCTGGCATGGCTCCCTTTACGTTAAGTACCTCCTCAGCTTCTTTGTGCAAAAGGTGGAGAGGGATTTAATACAGACAGTAGCTGCATTAACCTGTACAGAAATGCCCCTAATATAAATTAATCCAATTTACCATGAAGATATTTTATAGAACAGCTGACTCCTTTTAGCTCCATGCAGAGTTTAATTATATTAATTCTGTTATAACTATATTGGAGGGGCTGGTGGCAGCTCTTAGTGCTGAGAGAGCATGTGATGACCATCTAACCAATATCTCCAGTTATGTTCACCAGACTATGCTTTATGATAAAAGACAATATAGGTGCCTCTATTATTGTGATGCATATACTGGAATATTGAAATGTGGTGTAAACATAAATTATACTGACTTTAATAAAGAATTATTTTAATTCTCTATTTACAGGTTCGGACATCATATGTTCAGTGATGCAGAAAATGGATTTGACCTTCCAAAGGCAGTAGCCACAAGTGATGTTGCTGTCCGCATCTTGCACACTCACTATGATCATATTTCTCCACTACCACATGTTCCCACACTGCATCTAAAGGTGGATGCTCCAGAAAGCAAACAAAAAATAACTCTGTTTTGTGATATGAAAGAAGAAGAAGAAAAAGAAGTGGAACAAGAGAGTGAAGACCAGCTAGTAACTGAAGGAAGAAAGGTGAGAGATAAGATACATCCTGTCAGTTGATGCCCAGCTGCATAATATTGGCACCTTAACAGATCTTTACATCTCCCTTGTGGAAAACAAAAAAGAAAACAAAAAAGTCCTTACAGTTTCCCGTCTCCTTGTTAAATAATTCAGCCTCTTTGGAGAAGGTCTTGCAATTCAGTTCCTTATAATTAGTAATGGACCTAGCTCAAAAATACTAGAGGTTAAGTATGGATAATCTCTGAAAAGGTAAGGGAGCAAATCGTGAGGTTTTAACTTGAGTTTTATCTAAGTTTCTCTACCTATGCTAAGGCCTCATTCCTCCAGTAAACTTCATGTATATCTCATTGAGGACGAGGACTTACTCATTCTCCTGAGATTTTCATTTTCACAGAGGAGCAACAGTGAGATTGCCTGTCTCACTGTAATCTAAAAACACATATTTTGTTTTTTATATAGAGTACCATCTCTTTCAAAGACAACACTAAAAATGATACTGATGAAAATGAGAAGCTAGAAGAGGAATCTGATAAGAAATTAGAAAGCGTTAGCACCATTTCTGGAGGTACTCAGATTTTACCTGCAGTGTTGCATAATTATATACATTTTTAAATGAGCATTTAAAACTAGATCTAAATGATTTGCTTGGGAGAGCAAATACATAACTTTGTTTAGAAGAAGTTTAACTATTTTTTAAAAGGAAAGCCAAAGTTGTTGTGACTAGTACAGTGGGTTTTAGTTATAGAAAGCTTAAATTGCAGTATTGTAGAGCACAGCATACTATAAAAACTAGGTATAATAT